TGTCGCCTAGCAATGGGTCTATACATCACAATATTAATATAAGCAATGCGAAAGTACATATAATCTTTCTCTTCGCACAACGGCTGGCAAAGTTGAAGTATTGAATTTGACTGCTGTTCAAATTCCTTGGTTTGGTTTTGTTCGGCTTGTCTCTGTGCGTAAGTGTTCCTTTCATTCTATCTTTGCTCGTTCTTAATTTATAACAGGCCTTTGGAATGTTGCATAAGCCCATGGTAAATATAGAATTAGCGAAATTTATGTTATTACATTTGGTATATTTAAAACAAATTGTTTCTTTCAGTCATATTTTGTGTTATCCATTGTTCTTTCAGCTATTATAATATTGCGTTCATTGTAAATATACATTCTTAGATACTTTCCTTCTGTTGTTTATACAGATTTAGGGGTTTGTGTCATCATACAGCACGTTTGATTATGTCATATGTAACAGAATCGAAAAAATTGTGACAGCATAAAACCCTAAAAGTAAACATAAAAATTGTATTTAATTCGCTTATTAGTGGCAAGTTGTATTTGTGTTAATGGAATAAAAATTATTATTAATTAAATTATATAAATTGCAATGTTTTGTATTTTCTTTCTTTTTCTATAATTGTGTTCGCTCTTTAATTGGCTTTGAGATTTTAATTTGCATGTAAATAAATAAGAATTCGATTATTATTATTAATATTCAATTTTATGACAACGTGTGCGCCTCGAAGTACGACATAATTTGTCTGTCTGAGACGTGGCTCACCGACCTGTGCTACGATCACAATCTGATTCCTAACCAGTACACCGTTTACCGGTCTGACTGGCCGTACATAAACAAGGCTCGCGGTGGTGGCGTATTAACAGCCATTACTGCTAGCCTGGGCTCTTGCAGTCGCAGGTATGATTTAGAACTCAGTTCTGAATGTGTGTGGGTCGAGGTTCCCACTGCTGATGGCATAAACATGCTTATTGGTAACCATTACTTCTCCCCTGACACAAAACCGGAAGTCGTTACTGCCTATTTCCGACAACTTGAAAACAATCTAGACACGAACAGTACTCGCGTCATATTGCGCAGTGAGTTCAATGCTCCTGGATTCAACTGGGAGTACGGGACACCTCCTTCTAGTTGCATTATTCTAAAATCAAAGGGGACTCTATATACACCTCTACATGTTTTATTGGCCTAAGGCAGTGCGTTGAGGCTGTTGACACTATTAACCTGCTTGACCTAGTATTTGCAAATTTCACTGATCTTAAGTTTGTTCCTACCGACTCTGGATTTGTCGCGCCTGATATATATCACCCTCCTTTGAATATTGATGTTCTGTTACCTAATGTTAACAGTAATTTAAATTTTGAGTTTAGTTATCAAATTTTCGCAGCAGGGAACTACGCTTTGCTTTACAACATTCTATCTACTTATGACTGGTCAAGCGTGTATGAAACCTCTTCTGTTGACGTAGCAGTCGCCAGCCTCAGTGTTGCTGTCAGAAGTGCCATGGAGCAGGCATTTCCTTGTGGGTATCGCTACAAGTCTAAATACCCTCACTGGTTCTCCTATACCTTAAGGTATTACATCACCAAGAAAAATTATTTCCACCGTCATTTTAAAAAGAATCCTTCTGATTACTTTTACGACAGGTTCGCCTATTATCGAAAACTAGTTAAAAACACCATCAAGTCCGACAGGCTTAGGTGGTTGAAGTCAGTTGATAACAATTTAAAGTCACAGCCCCAACATTTCTGGAAATTCATATCTAATTTCAGAAAGCATAGATCCGGTTCCATTCATCTAGAAGTTGATGGTACACACCTAGTCCAGCCCGAAGCTGTTGCTGATTCATTTGCTAAGCACTTTCAATCTGTTTACATTAACCACTGCTCTAAGGTCATTCATCCTGTTTCGCAATCTTCTGAACTTTTATCCCTTGCCCCCATTTCTGATGCTGATGTGTACAAAGCCATCAAGAAGCTAAAACCATCAAAATCTGTTGGACTTGACGGTATTCCTGGTTTTATCATCAAAAGTTGTGCAGGTATTTTTATTCCTATACTTAGGCATATATTTAACTTGAGCCTGACGCAGCAGTATTTTCCTGCTGCTGTTGTACCAGTATTTAAAAGAGGCAATCATGCCGCTGTGAGCAACTACAGGCCTATTTCTATTCTCAGTAATTTCTCTAAATTGTTTGAATTTATTATTCATGATCATGTTTCTCATTTCGCTAAATTTAATTCCAACCAACATGGCTTTACCAGATCTAAATCTACAGTTACCAATTTGGTGGCGTTTCTCGACTTCTTGACGCCTGTTGTCCGCGGTCAGCGTCAAGCTGATGCCGTCTATTTTGATCTTTCTAATGCTTTTGACCTCGTCCCTCATAATATGCTCATGCATAAATTAAGCTCCTTCGGATTCTCTGATGCTTATGTTAGCTGGTTTCGCAGTTACTTAGCCAACAGACAATCCAGGGTTCGAGTTTCTGGCACAATCTCCCTGCCTTTTCGCGTAACGTCCGGGGTGCCGCAAGGTTCTGTTCTGGGGCCTCTTCTTTTCAGTGTATTTATAAATGACCTATGTGACTTCGTTAACTACTGTAAATTTCTAATATTTGCCGATGATCTAAAAATTCTCCGCATTATTAACTCTACACATGATTTCCTCTTACTTCAATCTGACATTAATTCCGTAAGTGACTGGTGCACTGCTAACTCCATGAAACTTAATATTGCTGAAACGCGTGTTGTATCATACACCAGAAAAAAAAAATTCTGAGCTACGAGTATCAGCTTTGTCATGCTATCATTACACGCACCAGCAGTATTAAGGACCTGGGTGTTTTCTTTGATTCAAAGTTACATTTTCACACACATGTTAATTACATATTTTCTGAATGCGTAAAGATTTTAGGTCTTATTCGCTCCATTACCTACAGGTTTTCCTCCCTGGAGTGTCTGTATGTACTATATTTTACTTTAGTCAGGTCCAAGTTGCAATATTCCTCAGTAGTTTGGAACTCCATAAACTCGACTGATGCTAATAAGCTTGAGCGCATCCAGCAGAAGTTTGCGTCCGTCTGTTTTTATCGTTTTTCCCCTCATATTTTATATAATCATACTGATGCTTTAGAGAAATTAAGTCTGCAATCTTTACATAAACGGAGACATCACCTTGATGCACTTTTTCTTGTTCAGGTCTTTCGTGGTCTTAAATCCTGCTCTTCTCTTATGGAAAATGTTAGCCTTCCTGTTCCTCCCAGCAATCTTAGTGACTTCTCATTGTTTGGTGTTTGTCCCACTAATAAACACTGTCCTTCTGCTCGGTGCGCCTATGCTGCCAACGCGGTGGGTAAAGATCTCGACATATTTGCAATCGGAACGGTTTCTGTCAATCATATTTCGCATGTAAATAAATAAAAGTTGGAATCAGTTAACATATTAACCCATTAAAACTTGAATTCTTTTATATTTTATTGCTGTCATGCCTATTCGAATCAATTTGAAATTGTACATATTGCAACGTATTCCGTTACTTAAGACGCTGTTCGGACTGTTAATTGGTTTATTTAACATACAAATCACGGCTACAATTAATTACAAAAATATTGCGCAGTTTCACGATTTATAACCCTATTCGCAAATCAAATCACGCTATTGTTGGTAGACTACACGTTTCACAGTACGGGAGCTATACAAGTGTCACTGTGTTACACACTCCCAATTAATTCTCAGTTATCACAAACTGTCACTGATTATCACACTTTTACTCGTAACTCGCCGCTGGCTAGATTCCAACTCCACTCGCAGGCTGCTGCCTTGAGAACAGTTGATAACACACTCCGGCGGCTGATTCACTTCAACTCTCTCCGGGGATGGCTAGAAGTTAGCTCGACCACAACTGAACTCGGCGACGGCCACATTACAACTCTGCTCGCAGGCAGTGCAGCTCTCTTATATAGTGGCCGTGTGTGCCTGTTACGTAGCAACGCTGTTACCCCACGCCGTCTTACGTCACCGCGCGTTGCGCGTTACGTCGCCGTACGGAGGGTGGATGACGAATCGCTGACTCACCCGCCGCGTCATTCCTGGTGGAGGGGTTCTCCGTTGCGCAACATGTCACAATATTTTAATTTCTCACTCATCAATGATAGGTTTGATTTATGTTGATAGAGTTATTATTGTAATTATTAGTATTATTATTATTACTACTATTATTATCATTATTTTTATTAATTTCGTTATTATTATTATTATTATTATTATTGTATGATGCTCTATTTAAACTCAAATTCTCACATTGTGGCTTTGTCTGTGTATGTTTGATTCCGTATCTTATTCATGCAAACTGTGTAATTAATATAGACTACAATTTTTGTATTTTTTTTATTACTTTGTGGATTTCTCTATTCGTGCTAGCTTTGTAATTGGCCTCTGTGATGTTAAGTTTGCACGTTCATAAACACGATTTGAATTGAATTGGATTGAATTGAATTGACTTGAATTATTGCTTTATATTTCGATACAGCAAACTGAAATCATTCTACAAAAAGTAATAACCTTCACTTTCAGAAGCACAAATCAAGATATAATAATTATAGAGCTATATCACATAAAAACTAGTATAAACATTAATTAATTAACTAATTAATTACAGAAAATAACAAGGAATATGTATATGTAGGACATACATTAATTGTATTAAATATACGTATAAATCACGACACACGTGGTAAAAGAGAGCCCCTGAAAATAACAAGAAGTAATGCTCAAATGTATTGGCAGAAAATTTAAGGAATTTTAATTTACGATTAATCGATGGATTTCTGATAACATCAGTTTTAAGATACAAAAAATAATCATTTCGGCACAGATAATTATTCGTGAATCACAGTTTTGGGAACAATCTTAGCAAATTAATACAACTTGAAATTTTAACATTAGTCATGATGTCAGTCAAAACTAGTGTCATCTCCTAGTGAGTCTGTTTCTATTTCAATTTTCAGATCTCTTCTTCAACTAATACAATCAATCCATTGTGGTGCCCTAACCCTAGAGAAGTCAACAACAGTGATACAATGGATAATGGAGTCCCTACCAATTTGTCCCACTCAGCCAAGTTCACGCTAACTGATACGGACACAGATAGTCCACTTCACTCTGCTGTCCAGCATGGTCATCTCGATCTCATTCGTCTGCTAATTGAACAAGGGGTCGACGTGGATACCCGGGCCACGTTTCGTGAACAGACGCCTGTGCACATTGCAGCAAAACTTGGGGAATTCAATTGTCTGAAGCTGTTGGCAAGTTATGGTGGAAGTTTGACATCCTTGGACGGCACCGAGAAGGGATTTGCGCCGATACATTTAGCAATTTTAACGGGTAACGACGCAATTGCCCTGTGGCTCCTTGAAAATGGGGTGTCAGTGAATACGGAAAGTATGGCAGGAATAAGTCCGCTGTTCTGTGCTATACGATGCCGCAATACCCAGCTGGTTAAAGTCCTTATAGAAAAAGGCGCCGATGTCAATGCAAAAATTGTGAATATGGATGGCATTACGCCATTGCATTCTGCAGTGTTGGTTAAAGATGTGGATATTTTTAAAATCTTACTCGAGAATGGAGCGGATTTCACAGCTTTCTGCAACTTCCGTAACCAGACAGTAATTCACTCAGCAGCAGCAGCTGGAAACTTAGAAATGTTCCTTACAATGGTTCGATATAATGCTGATATGTCTGTACAGACAAATAATGAAAAAGGGGATAGACCAATTCACTTGGCTGCCAGTATGGGCCATGTCTCTATCGTAGAATGGTTAATAGAGAATGGGATATCAATGGAAATTATAAATAAAGAGGGACATACACCTTTACATAGGGCTGCTTTTCGTGGGAAAATCCGTGTCGTAAAATTGTTATTAAAGAAGGGCGCGGATGTGAATATTCGCACTAAAAACAAGGAACGCAATACAGTACTACATCTGTC